CTGTACACTGTACAGTCATCATCATCATCATCATCTTCGTTGCTGTTATCACTTCATCTTCAGTTGCTGCTGCTGCTGCTGTTTAGTTTGCTTCAGTGTAATAATCGATGTAATACCGAAGATGTCTGTGCAAGCACACACAGTCAGAGTCAGACAGTCAGACAGAGCGAAAGACATTTCGTCACCTATTTGCGGAAAGAGCTGCTGCTGCTGTTTAGTTTGCTTCAGTGTAATAATCGATGTAATACCGAAGATGTCTGTGCAAGCACACACAGTCAGAGTCAGACAGTCAGACAGAGCGAAAGACATTTCGTCACCTATTTGCGGAAAGAGCTGCTGCTGCTGTTGAAGAAGAAGAAACAAAGAAAAGAAAAGAAAAAAGCAGAGAGAAAGCAAACAGCCAAGTGTCACAGAGAAAGAAAGAGAAAGCTGACGATGGCAATCACAGTGAAACATCATCATCATCAACAGCAGCAGCAGCAGCAGCATTTCCCCTAGAGAGAAAACTGGTGAGCATCTCTGTTTGTACATCACCACCAAAAAAGAGCCCGAAGAAGTCCTCACCTCATCCTCTTCTTTCTAGTGCTTTGCACTCTCTCTCTCCAGTATAATTAGTTGTTGACATTACCACTACCATCACCCCAAAGGTGACAAGACAGGACGAGTGGATCGAGGGGGTTTGGTGACAATATTTTTGTCACCTTCTGAGCTGAGCTGAGGTGCTCATTACCACCTTAGATCTAATGGACAAAGGCTCTGGGACACTAGAAACACTAATGTCACCCTCTTCAGAAAAAAACTACCGCCGATACCTATGCATGGGAAAGTGACACTTTCCTTCGATCACACTTTGACAATTTCTATTTGTTTGCCTGGGACACCAAGAGTACATCCCATCATTCCTCCATCATCTTTTTTTGCTGGGAAACTATCTTTTCTTTTTCTTATTTACTTAGAGTACACCACCACCATCTCATGATGAGCATTTTTTGCATCTTTTCATCAGCTTTTTCCTTTTTTTGTCGTTCACTTCTCGCCTCACTTCATCAACATTTCATCAGTGATTTTTTTCTGTTCATTTGAAGAAAGAGTTTCTGAGAGAGTTTGTGAGTGTGAATTCTCGGAAGAAGAAGTGCTGGAAACTCCAACCAAAAAAACCGTCGTCGCTGTCATTTCGTTGGAAATAAAAGCTACTGCTACTATTTGACTATTTGCTCACTCACTTTTTTTGCTCTCTCTTACTATTTGACTTCAAGTGAAAATCACCGCCACACTTTCACTTTCCATTGAGTTGCAGTAATTAATGCTTTTTTGTTCTCCTCATTTTGTTTTGTGTCCTCATTTCGTTCTCATCTCATCTTTCTCCTTTCTCCTTTCTCCTTTGTCTCCTCTTTTGTTTTTATTGATTTAGGCGCCTGATGTTATAATTATTAACGGGAAGAAGTAAATCAACAGCAAAAAATCAACAGCGAAAATGATGATGAACGCCGTCGACGTCGTCGGCGTCTCCTTCAAGTACCAGAAGGCGAATGTCCTCCAGAATATTTCCTTCAGCGTGCCCAACCAGAAGATACACGCCCTGCTGGGGCCGAGCGGAAGTGGCAAGGTAAAAGGATCACCTTAAATATTTTTTATCAACATCTTATCAATTTTCTTTATCAACAGACCACTCTGCTTCGGCTGATGCTAGGTCGAATTCGGCCCTCCTCGGGAATGATCACCGTCTTTGGCAGCACCAAACCGGGCCACTTTAATCGACAAATCGGCTACATGCCGCAAAGTCAGGCGCTCAGTCCGGAGCTGAGCATCAGCGAGACGATGAACTACTTTGCCAGTCTTTATCAGCTAGCGAAGAGGCACTTTGAGGAGCAGTAAGTTAGAAAAAAGTTTATCAATAAAAATTCTTATCAAATTAACTTCCCAAACCTTTTAATAGAAAAGCCATCCTCACTGAGGTATTCCGTCTGCCGCCTGATGACCAGCAGATCGTCGGAACACTTTCCGGCGGCCAACAAAAAGCCTTATCATTGGCCCTCGTTTTTCTTCACTCACCTCGCTTGGCAATCCTCGATGAACCGACAGTTGGGACTGATCCTCTTTTAGGAGATCAGATCTGGTCCTTTCTTCATCGCCAAGTTGACCATCATGGCCTGACAGTGATCATTGTGACCCACTACATTTTGGAGGCTAGTTTGGCGCACCACGTTGCCATGATGAGGAATGGGCGGCTGATTGAAGAGGGGGTAAGGAAGTTTTTTTTGTTGGAGTTTTTTAGGAGTTTAAGTAATTTAGGATTTTTTAGACCCCTCAATCCCTGTACCTAAAGTACGCTGAGACCAATCTCGAGACGATCTTCATCAAGATCTGCACTGATAAGACGCTGACGGCGGAGTCCTCGGTGCAGAAACGGGCACAAACTTATCAGCAAAACATTGTCAACTTTCTCGCCTACGATGATAAACCTCCAAGCTCCCAAACGCCTCAAAAAGTTGATAGTCTAGTCACAGCTGAAAATCACCAGCAGCAAAAGATGATGGGGCTGGAAATTGCCGAGACCAGTTTCAGCAATTCAAAAGTTTCAAAAGATCCTTATCCTTATCAGCAGCAGCAGCAGCAACCTCCACAACTTCATCAGTACACCTCAAATAGTTATTCTCTTTTGTGGATTCTCTTTATTCTTGTTCGTCGAAATCTTCAAAAATTCCTCAACTCAAAGCTGACCACGATAATGCTCTTTTCGCCCATCTTCTGCACACTGCTGATGTGCATCACCTTCAAGGTGGACAAGATTATGGTAAGATCATATTATCAACGACTAAAAAAGGCTCAAAACTTATCATTATCACTTTTATCAGCTGCCCACCGCCGTTTTCAACGAGGATCTCAAAGGATCAGCTCTGCAGCGGTACAGCGAGGAGATGCAACGCCTCTCAAAGAGCTTCCAAGTTCACCATATCAAATATCAGCAGTACCATTCCCTTGAAGACGCTGTACAGGCCGTTGAAAGAGGCCAAGCAGTGGCTGCCCTTTGGTTCGAAAAAGAGTTCTCTGAGGCGCTCACCAAACGGGCCCTAGCCTCGATTGTCAAAAAGAAAGAGGAAGAAGAGGAGGAAGGTGAAGGTGGTGATGAAGGTGGTGGTGGTGATGAGGATGTACTTGAAGAAGGAGGTGGTGGTGACGGTGTTGATGAGAGCCTCAATGAGCTGGCAAAGAGCTCGCTGATCAGGACAATGTCCACCACCACTTCTCCTTTTGCCACCGCAACTACCTCTGAAGAGGAGAACTCCACAACAACAATGGAGGAGATAAGAATGTCACCCACAACAACCGTTACAGCTCCTGAGGACCTCTTTCTAGAAACAACAACAACAACTCAAACTTTCATCACAACGCCAAAAACTATCATCAGAAAATCAAACTCCACCACCAGATCACCCAAAAGAGCCCAAAGAAGCAAAAGAAGAAACAAACACAAGGACTACGATTTTGATGATGAGGATGAGGAGGAGGGTGAAGAAGAAGAAGAAGAAGGTGAGGGTGAACTCCACCGCCAGGGCAACTTCATTCCGCTCAGCAATCGAACCCTCGCCCGCAGCAGCATGAAACTGTATCTCGACAATTCGAACATGTTCTACGCTCAACCGCTGGCAGATATGCTCCGTTTTGCCAGCTGGGAACTCCTTAATCAGGTAGTTTCCGACCACGGAGAGCTGACCGTGGCCCAGCCTGTGGTCGTACAGGAAGTGGTCTACGCAGCGGGAACGGAAACTCCCGACTTCCTCCTTTCCGGGTACATGATCGCCTTCCTGTACCTCTCTCAAGTTACTCTAAGTTCTCAGCTGCTGATTGAGGAGAGGAAGGACGGGTTTTTCGACCGTACAATAGTGGCTGGAGCCCGGCACTGGCTGCTCTTTGCCTCGCACTTTGTCACCAACTTCCTCTTTAGTTTTGGGCAAATTGGAGCGATGTTCCTCGTTGGCTTTGCCTGGTATGGGATACCTAATTTTGGCTCCTACTGGTTGTGCTTTCTGCTGGCGCTGCTGCAGTCGGCGAGTAGTATTATGACTGGTAAGAAGCTATTGATAAGATTTTGATAAGATTTTGATAATTTTACTCCTCTTTATTTAGGACTTTTAATCTCCGCCGTCTGCCGAGAGAACTTCTCCGCCTTCTTCATCGCCCTCTCCATCACCCTCAGTCAGCTGTTCACCAGCGGAGCTGTGTTTCCCATCATCAGCTTTGACCCGCTGATAAGCACCATCCTCAGTCTGACGCCCATTAGCATGCCCGTTGAGTCGCTGAGGAATGTGATGTTAAGAGGATGGACCCTGGCCCACCTTAGGGTCGCCCATGGCTGTCTGACCAATGTAGTGACGACGCTCGGTTTCGGTCTGGTGGCGCTGTACTTTTTTATTCGGAGATCTTGAAGATGAAAAAATGAAAATTTTTTTAGAAAATTTTGTACTTATCTGCTGATCATGTGCTCATTTTTTGTGAAGTTTTATTACAGTTTTTTTGCAATTTTCAAAAGATTTGTTTTTATCTTGTTGAAAGTTTCTAATCTGATTTGAAGGAAATGTTTTCTAAAAACCACAAGTCGCTGTGCTAATTGAGAAATTAATGCCCAGAGAGTCAAAAATACTCTTGATGTGCTTATCATCAGTTAGCTGCGCCTGAAGATCAATTCATTTTTGTCTAATTAGTAGTAGCTGAGTAGCACCTTCTTTATTAACTTAATTATGTACATAATCAACTGAAAAGTGGCTAATTAGAAAGAAAGAAGAAAAGAGAAAGAAACTTAAAAGTACAATTTCAGCAATCAAATTAGGCAATAAGGAAATGAAGTAAAAGAACTTTGAGAGATGAAAGACCAGGCTGGGCATTTTTTAAGGACACTTGAGCGAGGAAAGTAGTGGAAATAGAAGAACAATAGGTCAAGATCAGAAGGAAAAGTAGAAGATCATGGACAAAAGGTGACATCCTTTCTTTCTTTTTCAATTTTACTCAGGCCACCTGCTAAATCCCTTCAAGCAGACGCCCTTGGGCGCCCACCACTGCGCCATGCTTTTATAGCTGACCGTCGACTTCCGGTGCACCGGCGGGGCGTGAAGCAGCGCACAGAGGCGGCACCAAAAATAGGTGTTGATAAACTCCCCGGTCCTGGGCCCCCGGTCGAAACTCTTCCAGTCAAAGAACTCGCTGTAGGCGGTGTCGTTGCCGTCGAGGTAGCTGAGGTACCGGGCGAGCAGGGCCGGCGACCGGAAGTCGTCGACGTGGATGAAGGAGTGGGCGGGGGCGGATCGGCGGTAGTCCTCCTGACTTCCGCCCATTACCACGGGGACAATGTTGAGCGAGTCGGAGTTGTGGCCGAGGCTGTTGACGAAGAACTTTTCGGTGATGTCTACAGGAAAAGAAAAAAGGAGTTTAAAAGAAGTTTTTGAAATAGAAAAAATCTTCAAAGGACTTACAGTCCCGACAGTTGGAGTTCTCAAAGGCGAGGTAAAACTTGTAGTCCCGATTTAGCATTGCAAAGCACTCTTCCGGTTTGCTACGTGGACATTTCAACTTGCCGCAGTTCCCGTAGATGTCCACCTCAATGTGTTTTGAGAGCTCTCGAGTGTACTCTAGCCGTTTATTTTGAGCGGCGCAGTTGCTGATAAAGATTGCCTAGAAAAGATGACAAGTTTGTTGATAAGTTTTTCAAGGAGAAGATTTTTTACAAAAGTAAGTACACTTACCACCTTTTTAGTCTTGCCCTCGGCGTAATTTCTTGGCTAAAAATTAGAAACAAAGTAAAAAATTTGTACAAAAAATAACTTTGATTCCTTCAATCACTTACCTTCACCACATTATTATCACCACCATCGCTGAGCATTACCGAGCGGAAAAGGTCGACGTTTTCCGGCATTGAATCACCTTCATCATCACCCTCATCACCACCACCTCCATAAAGCGATTCATAGGTGACAAACTTCTCGTAGGGCGTCACCAGGTCCGAGTCATGCCGATAGGTGGCCGTCCAGTTGAAGGTATTCTCCTGGATGCTGCTAAACAGCTGCGTATGCCTAGGTCCCTCAAGGAGAAAGAGGATCCACAGTTGACCTAAAGGTCTGCCGAATCGTGGCCAACTAAATCGGTCCTTGAAGATCACCGCATCAACCTCGGAAATGGCCTCAACGTCGTCCACCAGCGAACAGCTGCTGACCGGACAGTGGTCATCGAGGAAACGGCCTTGTCCGAGCTTCAGCCCAGCGTCGCCCCAGTTCCCCTTTCCAAAATAAAGAAGAATCTTTTTCAGAGGAAGAGTACCTCGAGGTTGATAGCTTTCAGGACGATAACCTCGAGGAAAGTACATCAGCTGGTTGACTATTCGATCAAGTCGAGGATCGGATGAAGAAAATGAAAAGGAATGTTTATCAAGGCGGACATCCTCGGGCCAGAGAGCGTAACTTCCGGTCACGTAGCTGCTCGACGGTCTCACTGTACCGTTTTTCATAAACCACGGCTTTGCAAGAGGATTTGCGGTGATGTTCACCGACCAGCCCACTTTGTACCAGGTCAACCCACTTCCTCCTCTTTCAGGAGAACTTCCTCTCAATCTTCTAAACTTTTCTTCCTCTTCCTTTTCTTTAATTTCCAGCAGATGGACCAAAGAGGATGATGATGAGCTGCTGCTTTGTAAGTTTTCATTACTGTTATTGTACAACGACCGCTCAATCAGCACGGCCACATTGAGAATGAGGACAAAGAGGAGGAGAAGTGATAAGAGGAAAAGAAGGCTTCGATTTCGGTATCGCAGCATCGGGTGACGAAGAGGAGGCCAATGACTTCGGTGGGCCATGTAGTGCAGGACCGATTCGAGGGCCAGACCAAATAAAATGAGTGTTGATGTTGATGCTGGGCAGCAGAAGAGAGCTGAAATGAACAACAACCAGAGAATGGGCTCGGCCATTATTAGTAGAGGATTCATGCTCAATT